AAAATACCACTCTTTGACTGATTTGAAGGAAAGATATCTTTCTTGATTGCATATGAGCTAGTAAGTCCTACTCAACACCAGTCCCATATCTCATGCCACAAACTAAAAGGGGCAGTCCTTCCAAGTACCAGTTTAAGAAACGAATACCAAGTTCAACAGAAATGGAAGAGTTACTCTTACAAAGTTGGGCATAAAACCTCCATAATTATTTCCATCGTCCAATTAATTTGACTTTTAATTGTCAAATTATTCATGGTTCCTCAAATGAAGAAGGGGCACCTTGTTACATCATCTAGTTCTCTTTGTACTTGGTTTTCTTTAGAGCTTTATCCATTATTGACAAATGACAAGTATAATGATATATCCATGCATTAACAAGTTTCTACACCTCAAAACTAGTTAAACTTATGCATATGTGCTGAGAGAATTTCAGTTTTTTGAGAAATAACTGATCCAGAAAAAGAGTATTCAAGTGTTTGACTTGATAACTTATGTCACGTTTTAATGTTAGAAGTTGCAACACATTTTAATTTAAGTATATTTAGCATTTGGTTCGAACAAATTAATGAATAATATATTCCTCACTAATAGTTTTTAACCTTGTTCTTACTCAGGGAAGTGCAACAAAATATCACAAAAATAAAGAACCAGCCAGACTATAACCTCCTCTACTCCCTACTCAATTCCTAAAACCTCAAAAGGAAAGATAGGAATCAAAATACCCCCACCCACCCACACAGATATAGACACAAACGCATACTGGTAACGAGATTACTGACCTCATTCCTTCTGCCACATCAGTAAGCTCAGCTCTAGTAGGCACTCCAGATCTGACGAGCGACTCCAGGACCTGTGTTGCCCAAATGACAGGAACATGAGCAGCTGTGCAGACAGAGATTATCTCCTTCTGTATATATGCCATGTTTTCCCATCCACACTCTACAGCAAGATCTCCTCTGGCAATCATAATGCCCAAAGGATTTGGCATTTTCATTGCCTCCAGTAGTAGGAGCGGCAATTTCTCAAATCCTTCTTTTGTCTCGATCTTTAAAGAAATCCCCAAGTCCCTTCTTTTCCGCTTCTCAAGTTCTTGGCGCAACAGTAGAATGTCACGGACATCTCGGACAAATGAAACACCCACCATGTCTGCATGGTTGGCCACAAAGTCAAGATCTATAAGGTCCTTTGAAGTGAGACCTTCATACCGAATATTGCTCCGCGGAATATTTATGGACTTCTCTGATCCAAGTTTACTACCCCTGGGACCTGCATGGGTGATTGACACAAGAATTTCCAAAGTGCTAGTTGCTTTAATAATACCCCATATCTTCCCATCATCAAAAGCAATAGGTTCCCCAGGCTTCACTGAATCAAAAACATATTCAGATGAGCAGGCTATCCTGTGCGCACCAGTGGAAGAAGTCAAATTGTTTTCTTCATTTTGACCATCTCGTGATATACTCAGCAAGTCATCAACCCTTAATTTGATAAATTGCTTGAGAGGAGGAATATTTACTACATGTCCAGCTGATAATTTCCTTCTCTTGTCCTTGATAAACAATTTTGCACCTGACTTGACATAAGCAGCCTTACTGCACTCAGCCATATATCCGACGCCTGAGAAAATAGGATACCTGCTTATGATCTTAAGTGTCCTTTGTTTTCCACGAGCATCAAATAATGTCACAACATCATCAACCTCGAGCTTACTAAGAAGTTCTTCACCGTCCACATGTAGAATAGCATCAGGGGATACATGGGCTGGTGGAGAAGCAGCTCCTGGGCTTGAGAGCCAAACTAGGGCAGGATATATCACTTTCCCATAAGCATTCTTCTTGGGAGATATTTTCAACACACATGGACCAGCCTGCAGTTTTCCAGTTCGAAGCTTGGGCCCAGCTAAGTCCATGAGAATTCGACAAGGCTTTTCAAGAATTTGAGAGCTTCTTTTCACCCTTCTGATTATCTCACTCCAAATTTCAGGGCTTCCATGAGCACAATTGATACGAACAATGGTAGTTCCAGCATTTAGAAGATCTTTCATTAATGTTTCACTTTCTATAGCTTCTTCACCCACTGTTACCATGATATGGGTGTTTCTCTTCTCTGGCAATCTGCCCAATAACAGGTCCGCAGTATGGGATGCCCTCCTCCTTAGTGTATTAATAGAAAATTCCCCCTTCATTTGTTTGTCCAGACCTTTTGTTGAAGAGATTCCTTCACTATAAGAGATAGTATGACTAGAAGAATCATATTTTAAATTATCTAACAGCCGGATGCCTGCAGAAAGACTTGCTAGAACATGTTGATTTATTGTGTCTAAATTCAGTAAACAAATGGAAGAAAGTTCTTCTTTAAGCTGCTCTATGTTGAGGCTTTTCAAGGCCAAATAATGAATCAGGTTTGTCGCACTGACCAAGTAATTTCTGTCATTCATGGAACCACAAGTTAGTTGCAGGAAAAATGATCAAGCAGGGAGAAAATAGCAATAGAGTTGCTGATGGAAAAGCTGAATATATAGTAGGTACTTTAATCACATTATGCATAATGCTTCAAGTTTATTTTAGAACACTCAAGATACAATAAATGAAAGTACCTAAAGAAACCAAACAACCTCAATGACAAAAAGGAAAAGACAAGATTGATTTTTCGTACTATACTGGTTAAATTTTCCATGCTGGCAATGTTCTCACAATAACCCTCCCATTAGTTCTTTTAAGCACATCCTTTCTACACGTTCCAATTTACATTGTTATTTCTTGTCTTAAACTTTATCTGCTGGTATTTCTCCTTTGGCAGTCTCAGAGATGAAAAAAAGTGAGGATAAACAGGACTTTATCATCTTGCAATATAAATGTACATACATTTTATCACCTTCACTGAAAAGGAAAATATTAAAGAAAACATACTTGTGAGACATTTTAAGTTTGGAAGCATTCCATTGTTCCATTGCCAGTACATGCAAATGAACTGCCATCAGCTTAGCAAGCAGGCCGTCTTCTTTACCATTGATCTCATAACTTCTAAGAATACCTTCACCACATGGCAACAAGGAAAAAGTTGTTCCCATCTCTGGTGCACAAGAACTCCCATCTTCTTTCTGACCAACGATGACCGGATAATCAATATAGTAATCTGAGCCTTCTTTTTCAGCATCATCCTTTTCATTTGGAATAGCAAAGACAATGTTCTTTCTGGCAAGGTTTCCATTATTACTGGCTATAAATTGGACAATATGTTCCCTAAAGCCAGGAATTTTGAAAAAAGGTTGTGGAATTGAGTACTTCCTGGACAGGTTGGAAGATCTAACAAGCAAGAATGAAGCAATTTGAAAGCCCTGCAGAAAGGAATGTTCAGCAATGTTACAAAAGAGTGAAACTAGGATATAGCAACAAATAATTAGGGACTGTGAAAAGCATAGCCTCAAAGATACCAAAGGAGAGTGATAATCTTTAGCTAGCAGAGGTTAGCACATGGTACGTAAACTCCAACACGAGTTCATTTTCTGATACTTACTTGAACTAAACATTGTGCTATATGAGTATCCTTGCCAAAAGAGGATTACTTACATTATTTGACAGTGCAGATTGATTGGTGAATATGGCAACAGAAGCTACACCACCCAACATCTAGAGACAGACGTTGATAAAGTTCACAGGCAGAGGACAATTGAAAATCTGCAGAGTACAAGCAAAGCACTTTAGACTTGAAGTCTCGCAGACATGTTTAACAATTGTTTTTTCTATAGAGGAACCAGCAAATAATACAATATCTAAGCTTTAATTCTCCATATGAATACAAATGATATGAAGCCATCTATTTATACACACAAATTGTACAAGTAAACACAAATAGAAACTCTCCTTGATAACACCAAATCATTTTTGTGACCATTATCAATTAGAACTCCTTTTCTATTTAAGTGTTTTCATTTGAAATCTTCTATGCTTAGCCAATCAGCTGCTATAGATGCATTCTATATAAAGGATAACAACACCAACTTGAAACTCTATTTGATTCGATTGAAGTCTTAACACATAAGTCCGAGGAACCAAAACACTATACCCTAACTTGCTCTAGTTCAATAGAGCATGCTAGCATAATCTTGAGTCCATTTTTCCCAACAAAGTACAGAATTCTGAGAAATCACTATTGTTTCTACCAATTTCGTACACAGATTAACACATGCTAAGAAGAAGAAGAAAAGAAAAAAAACATTTTGTGATTCAAATGAATTTTTTGTATAGAACTCGAAAAAGAGAAAACGGTATAGAAAGATGGAGAGAAATTACCTGGGAAGGGATTGGCTATTACTGGAAAAATGAATGGGAAAGTAAGGAGAGAAAAGGGTAATAAGGAGTGTGGAGGGCGCGTGCCAGATTCAGTGTAGGGGATGAAGATTCTTCAGCCCTATCATTTCCTATACGGCATCAACATGTGCCACAAATTGTTAGGTGGAATTAGATTGTAGCAATTGTAATTTAAGCAATTTGCAAACCTAATGTATCAACAAAAAAAACTAATGGAAAAGCCTCAAATATATCACCAAATTTTGTAAAAAGAGTGAGCTCATTATTTCACAAAAGTGTTCATTTATGCCATTATATTTTAATATCCAATTTTGACATACCACTTTGTATATGTGGCCAACTATGATAGGAGCATATCACTAATTAAATTAAGAAAAATACAAAATTCATCTAATTTTTTATTTTTTTATTTTAAAAGACCCAAAATAAGCCTACATCCCTTTTATCCCAAAACCAACCATTATCTTCTTCTCTAAGACCCACATTTGAGTGAGGGGTGGACATGCATCCATTAACTTCGAAAAAAATTATGTATACAATTAAATAAGGATCATATAATTAATTGAGACACGGAAAAAACTGAGTTGGTGCATTGGTCCAACACTTTTCAATGTGCTTCTTTGCAAGCAAGTGTTTGCTTCTGTTCACGGACAAAAAATTAAAAGACGGAATATATATATAAAAGGAGAATTCAAGGGTAAGTACGACATGAAATTGATAGACTTTAGGACTTCAAGTCCAGGTACAATATTATACAAAGTACAAACAATCCATAATGGACACAAAGCAAGAAATTTATAAAGAGAGAAAAAATGAACTATCAAAGTAGTGAACTATAAATACTATTTCCATCTCTGGTGCCTAAAGATTTCTTCAACTAAACTATAATGATGCTTATGCTGTCTGTACTGCCCCGTGAAATCGCCAATTCTGCGAGTAAGGTTGCTGCCTTCGCTGCAACATTTTCTTTCATGACCTTATTTTGAGAATGCTCACTTCCATTTTTGCACCTTCTAATCTGACCATTTAAGCATTTTCTTGTAAAATCACAAGCAACGTCGTTGGGAACAACATCCCACAGACCATCACTGGCAAGTATTAAGAACTCATCTCCATCCGTTCTTTTGCTCACTGTGACTTTTGGCTCTGGTATTACATACGGTTTTAGGTAGTTATCCCTTGCATTAACTCTTTTGTCACATTGAATATTCAAGAATACAGAAATTCTATATGTAAGCTTACGTCTTCGTTTTTTGGTGTGTCCTAGACAGAAATTAGAATACATGATCATTTAATTTTGATTCGATATGAAACATAATCTGGACGTACCAATGGATCTTGAAGTAGCCAGTACTCCTAGGACTCGATGCCCATTCCAATTGATGACCTTCCCGCCTGACTTCTCAATTCTCTCCAGTTCATCAGGTCTGTCCGGCTGTGTACAATTTACAAAATTAACAACCAAATAAAGAATTACTCCATTCATTTCATATAAATGCACCTATCAAGTTTTAGTTGATCTCTTCGATTCAATTTGTTTATATTACTTTTATTTTTAATTCACTGAAGAAGAATGTTTCTCAACACTTATGTAGTAACTCTTTAATTCTAACTTTCCAGGTAATGTGCAGTCCACAATATCAAAGGACATTTTTGAAGTAACTTTCCAAATTACTCGTATTAGATACCTAAGTTGTTCCAAGAGTTTTAAAAAGCAAGATTCCAAATTTTTGAAATACCTTATGATCATTAGATAAGGCCAATGCAACTCCACCTCGTGAAAGCACAGCTCTAGAATCCCCACAATTGGCAACTATTACCTCTTCCTTCCCCACAACCGCCACGACTATCGTTGATCCAATTGTCGCCACTTCCGCCCCATTAATCCTGTTCACCTCTTTATCCATCTTATAAAAACTCGTCATCATCACTTTCGCCCAATTTATTTCTTCAAATTTCCCATCTTCTTCAAGAATTACTTCCATCAGTACCTTGTGCAACAAGTCACGGCAGGCATGAGCTACACATGACCCTCCATGTCCATCATAAACACCAAAAAAGTCATAATTCGTCAATAAATCCAGCTTCACTGATAGAGCATCCTTCATTTGTCTTCTTCCACCGATCAAAGAGATAGATCCATGTGAATATCTCGTAATGGATTGTAAATCCTCTGTTTCCTTGCTCACTTCATCGACATTACTGGGAGTTCTGGTCAAAACGACACTGTTTTCTGAATGTTGTTGCTGATGATGAGAAGTTGTCTTACTCATGGTGAATAACATAGACACTACAATCTCTTTTTTCTCTCTGTATTCTTCTCCATTTCTGGTTTTCTCATCATTATCATCATTCGTTACTCCAATATTCTGATTTCGTTTCTTTTTATAGCATTTATAGTTGGTTACGACAACATTGGCGTTAGTGCTAGAGATGTCAGGCATTAATGTCATGCACAATCACTTCAATTGCTGACTACTATTAAGACGAGAGCACTTTTGTTGTTTCGCATTGAGATTAAAATCTTCCATTGCACCTGATTTCGACAATGTGGTTTGCCGGAAAACAGTTTCCGCGCGAGGCGCCATAAAATTTATCATTAGTCATTGTTTGAAAGCTAAGAATATGACAAACACATTGCAGCCAGTAGGTGATTGATGGGAGAATATATAGCACCTTATTTGTAGGGTTGTTCTGTCTTAATTTAAATATTATATTTATTTTTACTATAGATGTATCTATTGGTTTTAAATTCATTGCTAGGTAATATCAAAAAGTCTCATTTTGTATAATAATCAATTGTGTGATCCTATTGTTAATTTAATATATATATTTTTGCTTATTTTTACTTATTATGTAACTAGTCAGGGGCACGTGCGTTGCACGTATGAGCCATAAGTTGTCTCATTCTCTATTGAGAGACATTTGTAAAGTTGTGTTGTCATGAGTGCGTGCAATATTATTGATGTAGTAGAAGTGTACATTATTTTAAATAGTCTTGTCATAAGCGCATAAGTTATTATTGATCTTGTAAAGCTATAAAGATTTAATTGATGCATTTCATAATATGTTGGATATTTATGTGCTAAATTATGAATGACAACATCAACTTAATATGAAGCATTAAATTTGAAGCATGAAAGTACTGTAAATTATGAATAATAATAATACTAAAACATTAAAATGCAATACAATATCAACAAACAAGAAACTTAAATATGAAACTATACAATGTTTGGTTAAATGTCACAATTTATGTGAGAAGATTGAGGGACTCAAACAATTATCATGAATGTGACATTAACGCATTGAGGAGTGTGGGTCGATGAAGAATCACCATTTGAAGGGTCTAAATTCCTTAGTAGCATGATGGGTGCATTTTCCTTTAATTCTAATTTAATAAGATATGTAAAAATATATTTTGAAAATTTAATTTGTATGACTTAATTTATTTCATAGGTATATGTTAAACTCATTTCAATATTTAATAATTATATTCATTTATTTGGTGGAGTAAGTAATACTTTTGATAGTCATTTGTGTAGTTTACCTTTCCTCATAATCAATATCTTCAATCCTACAATAGGTACAAGTTGCACTACTTTTTATAACAGTAACTCGCTTGTAGCATTTCTTGCAAGCATAATACCCAACCAATATCCAAAGAAAACTATCCTTATGAAGAGAGTTCTAATAAGGTTTCAATTCAAAAATGATAAAAACAAGCACATCTAACATTGCAACACGTTAAGGAGGCCATAACAAATATTTACTCCAAATCCAAAAGTGCTAGTCCTGAATCTTTCTACCAGGGGATGTACAGAGAGGTTGGCTCAGCACTCAGCATGAATAGATGCATAACCAGAAAGTAGAGGAAAGACAATCCAAATGCATATTTTATTACACAAGTACAAAGGCTGAGAGATGGAAGAATAACCAATCCAAGCTACAAGGAGGCAAAATGCCACTGAAGCCAATTGATACAGTTCATTAGTACTTATCAAGACCGATTTCACATAAAACTTAGCTATTATAATAAAACGTTAGAGTATGATTATTAATGTGTGCTGAAAAAATAAAATAATAGGTCGTAAAATTTTCCACCTAACGAATAAGTAATTTATCAGATAAAATCCATTGAAATAAATCAATATGTTTTTATATAATGAAAATAGATCAAACAATAACAAAATAAGCAAAACTGAACAATTTAGAAAAATACCCAAATCAAAATAAGCAAAAGTTCAAACAGCCGACTACAAATTCCAAACTTTCCAAGGAATAAACAGAAAACAAGGGAAACAAAGTGGCTATTGATAAAGAATCACAGATCCATATACTTGGCGAATGAGCAAGTACAAAATAAATATCTCGGACCCAAAGTCATTACTCTGTATCCATTTGCATCCCCAACACAAGGACATAGGGAGAAACAGAGAATGTACTTGGGCTTTCACTTCAACGACAAATAAATCAGTTATACACCAAGCAACAATAGGCAATTTGCAACAATATAATTAAGATAACACTGTGACAAGTAATATTAAGGAAATAACAATATCACAGAAGTAGCAATATCAAGAACAGACATGATTAAGAGAATGAAACGAAATAAGCTAGATAAAGACATACACAGTAAATAGGAAAATAGAGCAGCTCTTGATAAATAAAGAGGAGAAAAAAATATTTACCTGATGTATTTGAATGAGTCACAACAAAGAGAAACAAATTTATATAGATGAGGGAAGAATCTGAAAAGGTTTTGGATAAGGTGATAATTAAAGCAATGGAATTGAGCGTCGAAAAAAAACTGCTACACTGATCAAGGGATGCTAAGCAGAAACTATACGTTTCTGGAGAATTAAATTAGGGTTGAGATTATCAGCAAATTTTTTTAACAAATAAATATTTAAGTAATATTGTAGGGGCAAAACGGTAAATCAACTTTGGGGTTAAGCTCTTCCCACTTATAATAATATATGATAATTCTATTTTATTCTTTACTTGTAGTAGCTCTATCATATACTCAATTTTTTTTTGTAAATTTATCATTCGAATTATTAATACATAACAATATGTAATACTCTTTCTGTCTCAATTTATATGACTTACTTTCATTTTTAGTCCGTCTAAAAAAATGACATATTTCTATATTAAATAACAATTTAACTTTAAAATGTGAAATAATTTATAGCCACATAAATTTCTACCATTCATTTTAGATCATAAATTTTATAAATCTTCCTTATTTTCTTAAAATTCGTGTCGAATCAAACTAACTCATATAAAATAGGACAAAAAAAGTAATGAAGAATAATATAGTAATTCATTTAAGTATCTTATTTATTAAAATAATACTCACAATACAAATAAGAATCAAATCGCTAGTCCACAAATGGGAAGAAAGAATGAAAAGTTGAAAAAACAAGGGAATGGGGGTAGGTGGTGGGACAGAGCTTAAACGAATTAATTTCATACACGTGTACGGTGGCGATGGAGTAGGAGATAAAAGGTGGCAAAAAGATGTTGGATTAATCTTCAGGCACCTTGACGAGTTTGATTACTCATCTCTTTTCTTTTTTTGAATTTTTTTATTATGTTGTTTCTTGTCTTCATGACACCAAATTTGTACTCCCTCCGTCCCATTTTATATGATGTACTTTGATTTGGCACAAACTTTAAGAAAAATGGAAAGACTTTTAAAACTTGTGGTCCAAAATGAATGATAGAAATTTGTGTGGTTGTAAATCATTTCATTAAGGGTAAAAAAGACATTTTATAGGCAAATTGTTACTTAAAATAGAAATGTGTCATTCTTTTTGGGACTGACTAAAAAGGAAAGTGAGTCATATAAATTGGGACAGAGGGAGTACGATTTTTTGGAAATTAGGAGGACCACTGTATACGTGTCGTTAAATTGAGTGGAGGGGACCATACTATGGATTTGTCAGAATCAGAGGATGGAAATTTTATGGGACACGTGTTTGTTAGCAACTGATTTTCTTAAAATTGGACTTGTTTTTACGTGTTGATTTGCAATTAAATAATGTGATATGTTCCGTAAATCTCACTCTACTTTACCATATAAATAAAATTTGTTGAAAAATAATTTGGAATTTCTGATATATTTAATAAACTTCTCAACACAAATACATAGTCTAGGCGCCTATCACAGCAGATCCGCCCATGAAGGAATAACATAAAAGGTGGGTTGTTTCTGTCAATTGTCACAAAACATGCACTCCATGCTTAAATAAGTGACTGGAATGGTTTGACGATATGTGATAGATGACCTTTCAAGACAAATATCAAATGGAAGAAAATACTACGTACTAATAAGTTAATGCTAAATCTAGATTTATACATATTGCCAAACCAAAAAAACAACCATCTGCTTTGCTCTGTTGAGTGTGGACTGATCAATTGCTAAAATATGGACAGAACCACACAGAATCGTATGTATAGAAATATCTAACAGAAATTCAGGTACAAGACACCACATTCCAATAACAGCGTAGGGAAAACTCAACATGAACTACAAAAGAGAATAAAAGTTCAACAAGAACAGAGAAGAGGAGGAGGAGCATGGATTAGAATATGAACATGTTCAGATTACTAACTGTTTAGATCAATTACTCCAATAACAGTACATAAGTATCTTCTTTAGTCTACACAAAAGTCACTATACAATATAAGTTTCTCATATGCACAAAAACATCTTGAATCCCAGTCGAAGTAAAGAAGAGATGCCAAAATATGGTCTAGCTGAAATATTTTCGCTTATCAAAAACACCACGTGAATCAGGATTTCTTCGCCCTAGAGAAGTCTATCCATGGATACTGCAAAAGATCATGAACAAAATCAGTTAATATGAATACTCTTCAAGGGAAGGGACAGGAGAGAAGAACACATTATCATGAAGTACATTCTCCATAATAAACTTTAGCATCTCCTAGTTTTGCATCTCGTCTAGTGTTGGAAGACCCATTGCTTCTTGTCGCTGATGAAACTGCAGAAGTATTATCCATCACACATTTAGAAGGCATCAATATCCATAAATACAACAAGAACGTCAGTTCTTGTGATCATGAATTTTCACCAAAAGAATAACCAGTAAACAAGTAAATCAAACATCACTAGATTTGTCCCTTCTACAAAATGAAGATAACAGCAATACCACTCCCAAGGTAAAAGCATGTTCAAGTCCAGTAATTAAGTATGGCTAGTGGGCAGATGAAGCTGGTAGACACAACTTAGCATCATCAACAATAGCTATAGGAGAAGTAAACCTCATATGCAAACAATCACCCATCATAACAACAAGGAGACATTTCATTTATTTAAATACCATAGCGTTCAGGGCTCCCAGATTATGCTATAATCCAATTGAGAGATAGGAAAAACTGGAACCTCTAAGACCTGAAGAACAAAATTCTACTAATTGAACGGAACTATCAATGTCGGTCAGCAATGTGGTCCTTTAGAGTTTAGTTTCTTTCTTGTGCCATACAAAAGACTCTACTAAAAAAATTGTATAACCAAGTATCTATGTTTTTCTATAAAGCACCTTCAATACTTACCTTTCATAACTAACCTCAAATCTAGATGTACATTTTGATTTCATAATTGTGAACCGAAATATACTAGAAGAATTTTAGGCTCAAAAGTAGCTTCCTAAACTCCAAATCTGAAGTTTTTTCTCATAAACACATTTCTATGCTAAGTTTCTACAAACTAAACCAGAAGTACTTTTTTGGGCATTTACCAAGCATGTCAAGTAAAGGTGTCAAGAAGGGACCCATTTTCTCAAATGCAAAAGGAAATTTTAGGGGATACTAGTAGAGCACAGAGTAATGGTAAATTTGTACTAATGTGGATAACAAATGACTCATAAGATATAGGATAAGCACAAATTATACAGTACCTACCATGGCAGTGATGCTAGAAACTTCCATATGAATACCATAATTGAGGGTTTACTTGGCAGAAATATGTAAAAATGAAGTGACAATAGAATTCCGACATAAAAAAGTGTTACCATAACAGAACAATTCCAACTAACAATAAAACCGTACCATAATAGTTTCAACACTAGATTGAATCTCCGGGTCCAATTTTGATAGCCTGGTAATTTCAGGTTCAACTTTCTCGGTATCGAGTTCAGGTTCACCTTTAACTACCCATTTCCACCAGTTCACCTTGTCTATCTTAGTAAGGAGTACAGAGATGGATTTCTGATCCTCTGCAAAGATGTTGGCAATAGTTAGTTAGTGATCTTGTGTTCCTCAAAGTAAAGCTGCATTGTTCTCGCACAGATTATAGTAAGATCAACTAGCAAACTATTGGAGTAATAGGTACATGCCCATACTCTGAAACTATGTATCACAGTGAAAATCAATTGCAGGGTGCTAATAACAGCAGATGTAAATAGAAAAAAAAATCAAGCAACCATGCATCAAAACATGACAGCAACTTACCTAAGGTCCAGAAACAAGCTTCAACTTTGACAGGTCGATAGAGTTCTCCCTGCCACCACAAAGAGGATGAATGTTAATATACAGGCTCAGAAGAAAATCATACAAATCTTACACATTTTGAAATGGAAAAACAGCAAATGATATCTCTGAATGACTAGAAACAGGAGAACACACTAACATAAATTATTGGAGGCAGACCCTTTAGTCCGACTGTAAGATGGTTTATTTTTATATCGCAAACAATAAATCGTGATTTTGTTCCCTGAGGTACAGGAATGTTGACATTAACCTCCTGTAATGATTGACCCCAAGAGTAGTTGTCCAGACCAAGGCCATTTTCTATGTTGGGAGATGTGTACATATCACCAGAAAGAGCAATAAGCTACTGGAGATGCAAAACAAATAGGGTTGTTCGGTAACACCAATTAACATATAAAGTTGGAATATGATGAGAACAAAGAATCACCAAGTGTAATATGGAGTTTGGAATTTCAAGAAAATACACAACGAACAATGGTATAGCAGAGAATTGGAGTTAAAGGACCTTCTGCAAAAAAATATAAACAGTATGCCACAAACGTACACACCTACACAGCTTAGAAAAAGAATACTAGTTCAAACTGAATACGGTCAACCTTTTGATGACATAAAGGTTAAGAAGACCAAGTCCAGCGACAAATAAAGGAGACAACAAAAGAAAGCCACAACATCGACCCTCCCTCAGCAGATTGGCACAATGCAAATGAAAACCACATAAATCCTCTGCTATCAAATTCCAAACTACAAGAGAGCAAGAGTAGGGCTTCAATCATGTGCTAATGATCTGAAACCACTTAGCCATTAACTTTCACTTAAATGTTGTGCAAATATAACTCTAAAGATCAAGAATAAAGCTTCAACTGGGCTATTTGATACACTTATTTCTTTTCAGAACATTAGGCTCTAAACACACTTGATAAGTGCAAACATTTGAAACGACCTAGCCATCAACTATCATTGCTTTACAAATCAAACACAAATAAACTTTATTTATGACTAATAACCATAAAAATATATATCATATGATATTCAAGATCAAGATTCAAATCAATAATTATTATATCTTTTTCCCTAAGTGGTAATCTCGGAACCCAAGGGTTCAAGGAGTGGAATTGAAGCACAAGTTAGGACAATCAGTATGTAACCATTGTGTTAACTCATTTCCCAA